GCAGAGGCAGCATGTAGTTGCTTTCTGCCCTTGTGTCCTTCACGTTGACTGGGAGGAAGACAGCAGCCCAGATGAGGAGAGCGGCTTAACCTCAGACACTCGATGGGGGCACCACAGCCACTGTACTCCTTTTACAGGTAACAGCAGGCCTTTCGGGTAAATGCTGTAGTTCTCAAGGTTGATGAAAAATCAGGTGGCAACTTGCAAGAGAACTCACAGAGACTGGGCAGTTGGCAGAAATGGTAGCATATACTCTAGCCACTGCCATCCACAGTGAGGTGCTGAGGTAGGAATTGCAGTTGGTTATTAGCTAATCAAAGATGACCAATTTCTGGGCAAAAAAATTTTCTTTTTTTCCTTTCCAATTTTTATTTGTATTAATAAGTTTGCAGCACATAAAGACTGCACTCATCATGGAGAGTTGGCACGTGTGAATACGTTTTAATTCCTTAGTTCCATTTCTCTCCCTTTCTTTCTGTTTCCCTCCCTATCTTGGTCTGCCTCTCTTTGCAAAATATTTATCTCCTATTTTCATTAACTATCTTTTATTTTACTCTTTATTTATATTTTGGGTTTCTCATATAAGAGGAGCCATGTGATTTTGAAAAGTGATTAGATTACTGTTTTAGTTTATTAGTACATGTATGTAGTATATGATGTTAACATTCCTTGTGGGAAATTGGTACATGTGGGAAGTTATGAACACCTGTTCATCACACATCTTAATCCCCCTTTCATCTCCTCTCCCTTCCCTACCTCTCCTTTCCACTCATCACTTAGGCCCCTTCCTTTCTTGGCACATACTTATAGTCCATAATATTTACATTCCTTGTGTGCAGCTGGTACACGTAGGTAACACATCCCAATTCTCCCTTTTCATTGATTATTCCCCCTTCTTCTCCCTTCCATCTCTTGATCTCCTGCCCCTCTGAGAACCATCTATTTCTCTACTTTATATTAACTGCCTTTTACTTGTTCTTTATTTTCACTCCGAGTTTCTCATGTAAGGGAAACAAAGTGATATGTAAGCTTGTGTGTCTTATTTCTCTCAACATATTGGTCCTTTTTGCATTTTTAGGAAAAAGGACCCCTTCTACACGATTTGTGGGGATATAAAATAGTGCAACCACTTTGGTAATCAGTATAAAGAGTCTTCAAAATCTGAAACTAGATTTGATCCACTTAGTCCCCCTCTAGATAACCTTCCTGAAAGAGTTAAAGATACAGATATATGTGCATTCTCACATTTATAACGGCATAATTCATAATAACCAATTCTTAAAAGCAGTCCATATGTCCATAAACAGATGAATAAAGAATGGGTGGTCTTTACATACCTTGGACCCCAGTACTGCAAAATAAATAAATAGATAAATAAATAAATACCTTAGAGTACTACTCTGTCGTAAAGGATAGACTTAAGTCATTTGTAGGAAAATGGATGCACTATGTGGTATTTAAGCTTGTGTGTCTGATCTAATTCCTTAAACCTTATGGTCTTAAGATGCATCAATTTAAGACAATTCCTAAGGCACTGTCACTGAAATCCAGACACTGGAGTGTCCCATGGGACCCAGTAGCTTCTGGAAGCACAACTGTGTTATTTGAGTGAAAGTACCAAAGTTGTGAGGGAGTTCCTTTTCCAATTCTCTGAGTATGGCAGCCCTTCATTTTTCAGTGACTCCAATGAGTAACACCAAATTCCTATACTTGAAGACCAAATTCCTGTGCTTTTCAATCCTTCCCACAGAGAGCTTACAAGGTAGGCTGTCACAAGCCAACTCCCATCATGCACGCTGTAGCACATTTCAAGACTCCCACTGTTGCTCTTAGATATTACTGGGCTTCTCCAGGGTAGGGCCTGTGGGCTGCATAGAGCCCATGCTGGGGACCTGCTATGGATGGAGTGTCGCCAGGAGTAGGGAATGGCCCAGGGACCCAACACATGAGCCACTCAGTCCTCCTACCTCTCACCTGGACAGAGGCCCAGACAGCCATCCTGATTTTTTTTTTTTTTTTCTCTCCTGAGACAGGGTCTTATTATGTAGTTCAGGCTGGCCTCAAATTCATGTCAATCCTCTTGCTCCAGCCTCCTGAGTGCTGCAATTATAGATGCCACCATGCCCTATTATGATCCTTATCTTTTAGAAATGTGTTCTTAAAAGTATTTAAAGACTAGTTATAAAAATATTTTTCTGGATAGTGGGGATGATAGAGGAACCACTAAGACTCAATAAATTCTATTGACCACACTGGGCCTTCCCCCCCACCCCACCCCCTCGCATTTAGCTAAAACTTTTAGTTTCTCCACAAAAGTCATCTTTCAGTTTTTGGTTAGCCTTTCCAATCCATTTGTCCTTTGCTCCTTTTTTATTATTTTTAGCAAATTTACCTTACTCTTCCAGTTTTTCAGGACATGGCTGGGAACTCTGCCAATGTTGTCTAAAGCCCCCTTTTTACTCTTATTTAAGGTAACTTTATCTCAAGTTTCTTTACAGTAATTTGTGGTGGCCACCCCAGCTGCCTGGCCATGTATAGACCATGACACTGTGGAAGCCTTCACAAAGCCACATGGCACGTCACACTTAAGGAGCTCCCATTGCCTGATTTATGCACTCTTTGTGAAGGGTATTTTGATGCAAATCACAAAATGAATCATTTTTATTCAGCTTTACCTAAAAGTTTCTCCTGGGTCGAGGCTATCTTCTCACTATAAATTCAAGAGCTCATTATATTGTCTTCTAGCTCCCACTGCTGCTCTTGAGAAACTGTGTGTACATGATTTGTCTTTTCTGTTTTTATGCTCTACCATTGGTTCTGAGACCAGGAGACAGAGGAAAAGATGGATAGAATTAGGGTAAGATGGCCTGCCTAAATTGAGTAAACTAACTACGTAAACTGATGGCCGGGATGGAGACGAGACAAATGTGACCCTCAAGAGAACAGAGCACAAAAGACAAAGGATGAGTCCCTCCGTGAACAAGGAAAAACCTGAAGGGGAGGGGCACAAAACAGAAGAAATACTGCCGCCCTCTTTCCAGACATCAAGATCCTGACAACAGCAACAGCAGTCACTGCTTCCCTCTCATTCTCCTGCACCTCTCATCAAGTTCTTCATAACTCTCTGGACTTGGACATCTGCACGTCAGTCATTCCGAACTGCAACTGACAAGCAGCAACTTTTTAATTTTAATAGACCACAGCTGGTACCCATCCCTAGTACTTGCCATGTTCTGTCAGGATCAATCTTTGCTGCCCTCAGAACAAGGACCCAGAGGAAGGGCGCTGCTTAGTCTAACTTCACCACAATTAGTCCTGTTGTCCTAGGTGTGCAATTTTTAAGTTTCTGGGTTGAGCTGTTCTGTGATTCCAGCATCTATGGATTGTTATTTTTCAACAGTTTTGCATAATTTTTATCTAAGCCCAGACATGCTCTGAAGTGAGTTAAAAATAAGGGGGCCAGTTTCAGGCTTTGATGATTTTCATTTTTTTTTTTTTTTTTTTCAGAACCGGGGATTAGAACTCAGGCCTGTGTGCATGCCAGGCAAGTACTTATTCCACTGAGCCATCTCCCTAGCCCCATGATTTTCATTTTGATTGAAAATAAATGGAGAGCAAGGGGTATGGAATTAATTTCTCAACTTTTTCTCAGTGCCTGTAATGAGGTGCTTTCAGATATGTTCTCTGGTTTTTTCCACAACAATCCTGTGAGGTACCTCCTTTACAGGAGGAAACTGAAACTCAGTGGATTGGCTTTCCTAACATATCATAGCTTTTCAGAGCAAACTTCATAATTTGAAATCTGTTTGGATAGCAGTACAAAGAAAAGTAGAGGAATCAGAGTAAGATCTCTTTCAAGAATCAAAAAACAAAAGGGCCATGGAGATGGCTCAGTGGAATAAATGCTTCCCTGGCAAGTGCAAGGGCCTGAATTCAATCCCCAGTTCCGAAAAAAAAAAAAAAAAAAAAAAACAATCAAAAAACATTCACAAATGACCTTCCCAAAGTACAAACAAAAGTAAGTAAGAGATTAAGTATGGGAGAGACGCTATAAATAAAACAAATGGATGCCAGCTCTTTTGATCAAACACGATACAAGGGCACTGGAGATCATCAATAGACATTTTAATGTTTCATGATGATATACTTTTAAAAAATGATGGGCATTTAGCAATTGCATTGGCAGGTTGGCTAAGTCCATCAAACACCATTTATATTCTCATAGAGCACAAGAACGTTTTTTGCAACAAGTGACAAATATAAGACACGGTCCCTGCTCGGAGGTTTATAATCTGAAAGATAGTTAAGATACAGGAGATACAACTGAAGGGATAGAAAACTTTTGAAATTTAGTTTTTAACTGAAAAATTTCCAGGTCTTTGGTGATAACCAAATGCCTTAAGTAGGTTTTATAATGGGATATTTAAAAACACTATTAGTAAAAATCAAATACTAAAATAAAAGCACTAATAATATGACAAAAAGACTGATTTGGTTTCTGGGACACAATGTCAAATGATTCTTAGCTGATAGCAAGAGACTTCTCTAAGTACAAGAACATTTGGGCACAGAACGAAGAGGGTGAGGAGTTCCAAATCACGGTAGTACTTTTGCCCTTGCTTTAATCTTCTTTCAGTATCTATGAATTTAGCAATTTATTTTAAAAAGTTCAGTTAACATTAAAGGGAGTGGTGGCCTTTTCAGTTTCTAAAGGGAGTATGAGAGGTGCCAAGATGGAAGACAGGAAACATCATGAGGGCAATGTGGTATGAGGAAAAAAGAGCAGAACAACAGAAGTGAAGAGGAGGAGCTGCATGGAAGATCAGAAGCAATGGAAAACTAATACAGTGACTACAAGTTAAATAAAAGCTATGTGAGGGGAAGGCTTAATATGAATTTTGAGGAAAAATTATGAAAGTATGAAAATATTTAAATATGTAATGTAAAGAGTCTACTGAAATACAAGATACATGTAAAATAATTTTGATTAAAAGGGAAAATATACTGTAAAATATTTATTTCATAAAAATAATTTTATAATCTATACAGAATTGAAAAGTACAACAAATTATTTCATTTCTTTGTAAAACTATACAGTACAACTAGCACACTGTACTCTCCGTTCTATGGCCATTCACCAAGATGGGAATATAATCTTGTCTTAAATACATACAGGTTCTGGCGGGATGTCACAAAATATGGGTTAAATTCTAGGGAAACACTCCTTTGGTAATATGAACAGTTTGATTATACCATAGTTCATTTCATAAAAAAAAAAATTAAAATCTCTCAAACAGAGCTTTTCTACTCATTGTGGATAACTTCTTACAGAGCAAAAAGAGAACAGCAAAAAAGAGACAATATTAAATTGGAGCATGCTAATTTATGACATACTTTGCTTTCCCTTCCTTGGCTAGTGTTCTTTTCCTTTCCTGTAACTATTAAGTAAGGTAATAAGGTGAATGGGAATGACCTATTCTTTTCGTACCTATTTTGCTTCTAGGATCCTTGCTTAAACCAATGAATATGTCAAGTCTTCAACTGACACTATTATTACCACTATGAAGCTGTGTCATTCTAAAAAAGTTAACACCCCAGTTAAAAGACCTACCTACATGCTTTTCCAAATAAGGCAAAAAAGTTGGCTTGGAAATACTTTTCATGTCTCACAAATATTAGCAGTCCCTTAGTAGACTGCAGAATTAAATGCATATAGAACAATATGCTTTTCAAGTTAACTTGGAAATGGAATTGCTAGCAACATTTTATTTAAACAAATATTCAAGATGATCCACCTTTAGAAACAAAGGCAGATTTAAGGTACAAAAATGCAGGAATCAAAGACCCCACTGAAATAATTAGAAAGAGGCTCAGTTCATGAAAAAGGCTTTGGAATTATCCAACTCCTAACGACATCTTTATCATGAATAAGAAAATCAAAATCATATAAAAGCTATAAATGGGAATGAAGTTATTTTAAAGAAAAAGATATTTTCATTTCATTGTGGAAATAAAAGGGAAGGGAAATACAAAATGGGCTGGTTGTATCTTTAGCCCATGTATGATTTTTCATCACGGCATTAACAGTCCTTCACACTGAAGTATTATAGACAAGTAAACCTAAGTTTTCTGATTAGGTCTCTTCATTTGGATAAGAAGGCTTTAAAACTTGCCTTCCTTTCTTACTAAATGAGCTTCTCTGGGAAGCATATGAATAAAGCAAAAATGTATTTCTAAAGAAAGTTTACATAATACATAATGTAAAGCATGGGAACCAGGAACACTGGTTCCCATACAATGAATTTTCTAAAAATAACTTAAAATTAGAAATGACACATACTCCTTAGACATTAAACCAGAGCAAATATTGCCAGTCATAGGAACAACATTCATCTGTAGAAACACAAATGCACAAGAGTAACACAGAAATCAGAATGAAGGTTGATAGACACACGTGCTGGTAGAACATATGTCTATCGTTACTTATAATGTCCCGGGGCCTCTTTGAAGCCCTAGTCCCACCAGGCCCAGAGTGTGGGTAAGTGGACATAGATGTGTATGACCTACAAAACATCCAACATGCTCACTGATCAAGTATACAACACTATGTGCTGCTTGATTGCTCTTGATTACTTGGTTTTCAAAATCAGCTTCACTGCTCAATCAGAAAGAAGTTATCGTTGAATTAACTCTCAAATAATCCATGAAATAAACTTCACTTCTCGCTTGTGTCAACAGTATCTTGATACCCCAGGAATACAAGGGATTAGTCAAATAGCTGCTTTGAAGCCATGAAATGCACATTCATAAATATTTGTTTGAACCTTAAAAATATTAAATACATCCAGGCAGTTGCTGTGCAGAGTTTTTGCTGTAAGAAGCAGCTCTTCAGCAGTATCTTATGAAGTGGTTACTTGAGGACTTGACTCTGGATCTTCCTGCTTTCTGCATTTCTTCGCAACACTGACTGCACCACCAATCAGGAAAACCACAGCGATGATTGCAAAATAACTGGCGTAGATCAGGAACTAAGAGGCAGAAGGCAGTAATTGACAGAATAGTTAATTAGAGACGATGTATGTGAACATACTCTATGTAATTAAAGATATACTCAGTTTCTCAGATGAACTTAAAAAAACATGGCACCAGGTGTGGTGGACCATGCCCACCATTCTTTATTTATTTATTTTACTTTATTTTATTTATTTTGGCAGAACCGGGGATCGAACTCAGGCCCTTGCGCTTGCCAGGGTAGCGCTTATTCTACTGAACCATCTCCCCAGCCCTGAAACATCCACTATTTCTTTTGATTACTCTCTTTTTTTCTTTCTTCTTCTTCTTTTTTTTTTTTTTACAGAACCAGGGATTGAACTCAGGCCCTTGCACTTGCCAGGCAAGTGCTTGATGCCCACCATTCTACCAATTCTAAAAGCTGAGGCAGGAGAACTGCTTGAACCCAGGAGTTTAAGACTATCCAGGGGACTAGAGAGATAGCTCAGTGGAATAAGTGCTTGCCTGAAGGTCCCAAGTTTGATCCCTGCTACCACCACCAAAAAAAAAGAAAAAAGAAAGAAAGAAAGAAAGAAAGAAAGAAAGAAAAGAAAAGAAAAGAAAAGAAAAGAAAAGAAAAAAAAGGAAAAGAAAAGAAAAAGACTATCTTGGGCAAGAAGAATAGGAAGATTCAATCTCATATTTAAAAAAAAAGAAAAGAAAGAAAGAAAGAAAGAAAGAAAGAAAGAAAGAAAGAAAGAAAGAAAGGCAAAAACCCATTCCATGCACACACTACGTACAACCACTGAAGGCCTAAAGCGGCAGCCCGATGGGGTAGCACTGAAATGCAGTGCAGCTTCATTCCTTACGAGCTCTGTGATCTTGCTGTGATACGTAGTTTCTTAGCCCTGACTACTTTATTTACAACACAGACTGCATAGTAATTCCTACCTCACAAGGTTGCTGGGAGAAGTCAGTGAGATCCTGCATGTAAATGTGGATGAGCACAATGTGAATGCTGTGGACAATTTTTTTAATTGTTGTTGCTGTTGTTATGAGTCAGTCTACACCCTTAAACTGATTGGTGGGTACAATGGGCCAGCTTCTGAAGATCAGAACTTCTAGTCTTTCCCAGAAGAGGGCAGTAGAGGCCAACTGTAGTCCATGGTAGGTTTATTTCTTTAAAAATAAGAACCTTCCCCAAGACAAATTTGTCAAGATGTAACTATATAGTTTATCAACATCTTCATTGTGTACTATTTCTTAAAATAACTTTTTAAATATTTATGAACTAACATATTTATAATACTTATAAACTGGTTCAAAGCTTCAACTAAGAATGTGCCCTGCCATGTCTGAGCCAAGTTCTTTCAAACTCGCATACACTTCCTTAGGAAACCTGTTATGGCAGTTAATGTCTGAACAGGTTACAAAACCCTATTCTTCCACTGCTTAAAGCCACCATCTCTACAGCAGGTCATGTGTTAAGAATCACGATGCTATTTGTCAACAGCAAGTCATTCTGTTGGTATTCAGGTGAGGGGTGCTTTAGGTAGAAAAGGTAGAAGATGAGATGAAACAGAGCATCTCCAACATGAACTATAGTATTCCAGGCATAGATCAAGGACGACTGGGCTATCACTCAGTGGCAGAGCACTTGCCTAGCATGGGTAGGGACCTGGGCCTTGCACTTGTGACCCGCCTGCCTGGCCTCATGAGCAGCTGGGATTACAGGGGTGGCACCACATCCAGCTGTGAACTTATGAATCACGCCCCACTTCTGTTACCCTGACCACATGAGGCTATCTTCAGGGTCAAGGGCGAGAACGTACTTGAATGGTGATTTCCAAGCCGAGGCCACTGGCGTCCACCACAATCAGAGTGAGCACCGTCTGTAGAGCCAGGGCAATGAAGGTATTTACACCGAACACCAGCGCATAGCGCTCCATACTGAGGTTTGCAGCAATCTGAAATCTTTTTCAAAAAGTGAAAGAGTGAATACACCAGAGCAAACTGTTGGATAGTTAACAATCTTTTTACTTTAAATGTGTAGCCCAGTTCCTTCTTTGTACTGCTAATTTTCTTCCTAACCAGGGGTGAAAAACTGTTGCTAAACATAAATTTCATTCAAACATCTGAAAGCAATAGTAATGGACAAATAAGAGCATATGCCAATTTTGTCTAAATGCTTTCTGAAGGGAAAAACAGATAACGCATATACAATAAAATGTCTATTGCCATTTGTCTCTTTTATTTAGATTCCTCCCTCCGCCCACCCCCCGCCCGTGGTACCAGGGATTGAACTCAAGACCCTGCGTTTGCCAGGCAAGCACTTATTCTACTGAGCTATCTCCCCAGCCCAACTTAGATATTTTAATTTCTTGGTTTATAAAGAAATTAATGAATGTGTACTGTCACATCTTTCCTCAATGCTTTGTTGAGTCAAAATACATACGTTGCTATTGTGATGAGTAACATGTAGATGATTCTGAAGACGACATAGGACGCATAGCACGCCCAAATGTTACCCACGGTGTCCATGATATACACAGCAGCAGCAATCAGGAGAGAACACAGGGACAACATCATCTCTCCCCAAGTGGACCAAGAGATTTTTACGTAACCAATCGCAAATACAGCAATTGCACCTATAAAACAAGGAGTGATTTTACTACATAGATACTATTTCAGTAAATTAAAAATCACTGTTAAAATTTTAAATCTTTAAACTTATAAAATGGATAGCTCAAGATTATGGTGGACCTTGAAACAGGGAGAAAATTTTGTATTTGATAGAATAACATGGAGCCACTGAGATGGTGACAGAACCATGGCAGGTGGCAATGAAATGAAAAAGGAGGACAGAGACCCAGATGTACTGCCGAAGGAAGGCTTCAGGACTGATATACGGACAGGAGTGAAAAAGAACAGCTGCTTCTAGCTGGGCAACACGGCAGGGTGAGGCACCTGGCCTTCCCACCTGAGAGCAAGCTATGGCTTTTCTGCCTTTTTCTTTTTTTCAAACCTATTTTAGTACAGGGTCATATTACACAGATTGGACTTGTACTGATCCGCCTGTTTTCAGCCTTCCAAGCATCATGCCAGTCTCAATCTCTGTCTCAGCATGCCCTGGGGGTGGGGCCAGCACAGCATGCTGGGATCAAACCCTGGCCACTGGGCTCTGCTAAAGCAGTCCGATGAGCTATATGGCCAGCCCTTCTGCCCTTTGATAAAATGGGAGATAAAAGGGTGATTTCTGGGTGCGAGAGTATAGATATCACATAAAACCTTCCAATAACCTTTGAGGCAGGGCCACGGATCAGAAAGGGACAATAAGGTGTGATGTCACAGTCTCTAGAGCCACCCTGCTGAAGTTCAAATCTTGACTTCACTACTTTCCATCTACCTGATCTTAGGCAAACTACTAAGCTACTTGCCCAAATTGTTTTTTTTTTTTTTTTTTTATTAAAAAATGTCAATAATGAGTGTACCTGTCTCACAATAGTCTACCACATCTTAACATTAACAGATATTAGTTACTACTGTTAAACACTATAATATATTGCTACTTAGAATTTCATATTGAGTGATAAAATTATGCAGTAAACACATAGACAAGAGAAACTTGGATGAGCAAAAAAAAATGTTTTTGAAAATTATGTTGGGTTTTTCCAAAATTTAAAATAATTCAGATTTCCCAATCAATTTCCTCCACCATTTAAGTACTTTAAAGCTTTCCTAAACTATAAAATCAGAATTTAAAAGAAATAAATTAATCTTGGGAGCTATTTCATGTTTGGGAGGGAAGACTTACACCTGGTTGGCATAACTACCAGGACTACCCACAACCATCCTGCTTCACTTACCGAGTAAGGTTGAAACGGCCTCCACTCCACCATTGTAGATAGCAGCATGGGGAGAAGGCATCACAGTCTCCCACAGGCCCTGTGTGTAGTTGATGACTTGGAAATAGCCACAGGTGGAGAGGGCCCACCACACAGACCAGCAGAGCAGGGGACGCGAGGAGTAGCATATAAGGAAGTCGTTCCACAGCACCTTCAACACACGGAGGTGGTCTGGCTTGGGTTCCTACACAGAAAAGGGAATAGAGCAGAAACCCCATTCTGTTAATTGTGCAAAGAACAATTGGTGTACAGGCCCAGTTTTCTTTTACCTTGTATAAACTACTTACTTCATATAAATAAAACATAAACTCACTAGCAAATTATAATCAGCCCCTGAGGGGGGAGCAAGATTACTCAATCTTTACAACCTTATAAATGACAACCTACAGTAAAGGTACAAAGTTATTCTCAATGATTCATTTCTAATAATATTAATAACACCTATTACCGTGTATTAAGAATTTATTATGCATACTCATTTGAAAGCTTTATATTATTTCATTTAATACTCGAAACAATATAGAATAAGAAAACTAACTCCACAGAATTAAATAATTTGCCCAAGAAGTTTTAGAACTGGAATTTGAACTTCTTTTTCTCTAAAATCTATTATATTTTGCTGCTAGAAATGACATTATTAAATTCCTGAGAAGCACTAATTGTGCTGATCTCATAGTTTTATAGACCTCAAACATGCATACACACGAAGGATGATTACCAAAACACGTTCAGTCTACAAATAAAAACACGGCCACATTAAGAGCACATGAAGTATGAATGGCATGCCAGCCCCCACACTAGAGTTTAATTTGAATCTTTGTCTGTGGTGCTGAGGATCAAACTTAAAGCGTCACACATGCTACGCAAATGCTATAGTACTGAGCTTCACCCCAGTACCCTGAATCATTTTTAATGGATGAAGAAGTCAAAATATGTCAGGTCTAGACATAAGCCAAGCACAAGTTTAGTTCCAATTGTGAAAGAAAATTGCTGATTGCTCTTCTTCCTGCAATCAGGAGCCTCTGATGCAAAGGAAGAGGTTTTCTCTGGAAAGCACCTAAAATACTCTAAGGTAACTTGTGGACAGGATCACCACTCTGACTCCACCTACTTCATTTTCCCTTTCCATAAAATGCAGATAAAACTAGGCATCTATCTATTTTTCAATAATCACCACAACTATATTTATGGTTTAATTAAGGGTCATGTCAATTTAAAGTGGCTTTGATCCCCAGTATCCATATTCTGACTATTCTTTGAGCTTGCCATAGAGAAGCAACAGTTTTTTAGGGCCTGTGAATGCAGGCACCAAGCGGTACCATCCAGCTCCTAGGTGGGCAGCAGCTGGGCTCAGGACATCAGGAACTGACCTGAAACCTACTTCTGCCTGCACCACAGCCAACTGGATGGTTCTGACGAAGTTGTCAGTGAAAGATGTTACAGAGCAAAGTATAGTGAGAAGTGGACCTTATATACGCTCTTAAAATGTTCAGAACTATTTCCTGAGCAGTTCCGTGTAACTTGCTAATCTCTGATCCCAGTCCTTACCTGGGTGAGGTTTGATGTCAACTAATACCTTTTAAGATGCTAAGATTGTTCTTCTTGTGTGTGTGTGTGTGTGTGTGTGTGGCCGGTTCAGCCCACCCTCGGGGCGGGGCTGGCGTCCCTGAGCTTGCCTAAGTGGGTGCTGGGCTATCTTGCCAGCCCTCAGATTGTTCTTTAATTTTCTAACACTTTATAATTTCTAATATTTTACAATTCTTCAGTATGTAAAAAATCCTGCCATTTTTGTATATCTATAAATGATAAATTTCAAATTTGTCTAGGAGACAGTTTTTTACACTACAAGTCATAACACATGATTGAGTGATAAAACTGACGTAGGACTAGGGAGATAGCTCAGCAGCATAAGCACCTGCCTGGAAAGCACAAAGTCCTGAGTTCGATCCCCAGTACCAATTAATTAATTAATTTAGCAGGTGGTAATGACTTTACATAAAAATTAAAGTTTGAAACTCACTGGTCTGTAAGAATCTTTAAAACTGTGGCTAATGTTAATATTTAAAATGTCATATCTATGTATCTATCTACCTACCTATCTATATATATGTATATATACTTTTTAAAAAAAATTTTTTTTGGTGGAACCGGGGATTAAACACAGGTCCTTGCGCTTGCCAGGGAAGCGCTTATTCTACTGAGACATCTCCTCAGCCATATATATATATATATATTTTAAACAAAGTCATTGTAGCACATTTGAAACAACCCTCCCACTTTTCTATCATATTTTTGTTTTTTTCCAGCAGAACCTGGGATTGAACTCAGACCCTTGTGCTTGCCAGGCAAGCGCTTATTCTACTGAGCCATCTCCCTGCCCCCCCCCCTTTTTTTAATTTTATTTATTTGTGTGTGTGTGTGGCCAGCTCAGCCCACCTGGGGGCGGGGCTGGCTGGCATGTGGTGCTGGGGGATTGAACCGCTGTCCCTGTGCTTTGCTAAGCTTGTTCTAAGTAGGTGCTTTAGACCACTGAGCCATCTCACCAGCCCCCACTTTTCTATCATAGACCAAACGATTATATTTCTTTTATCTCCCAACAACCCTCTTTTGACCTTCCAAAGTCACCTTGCAAACTAAGGTAAACTCAGCATTTCACTGATACTCAAGCTCTAATCATGGGTGCTCTGGTAGTGAAAGGTGAGTGTCATGATGAATGTCACACAGATGCCTTGGAGCAATTAGAACCTAAATTTCAACTGGTAAACCAGGGTAAAGAATGGGAGTAGGGGGCTGGGGAGATAGTTCAGTGGTCTAAGCGCCTGCCTGGCAAGCACAAGGACCCCAGTTCAATCTCCAGTACCCCGGGCGCATTGTGCCGGCCCCGAAATGGGATGTGTTGGCGCACACCTGTAATCTCAGTGCTGGGAAGGCTGAGGCAGGAGGATCACTATGACTCTGAGCTGCATAGCAAAACTCTATACCAAATAGGATTTTTTTGGCTGGCTCAGGCTGCCTTAAGGGCGAGTCTGGTAAGGCGTGTGGAGCTGGGGATCGAACCACAGTATCCTGCACCTGACTGTGTTTGCATAAGCAGGTGCTTAAACAACTGAGTTATCTGGCAGGCCCCCCCCATACCAAATAAATAAATTAATTTAAAAAAAAAGAAAAAAGAATGGGAATAGTTTGTCACTGAGAAAACTAAAGGCTAGGATAAAACCACTGGGTTTACTCCACATAGAGTACCATGACTCTGCTCACAGTGGGCCTTCCCCCTCACCAGGCCCACAAAACTCATAGAGCTTGGTATTATGTCTGACAGAGCCCACAGGCCAAGAAAAAATGTTAAGAGGCTTATTTCCAAACATGTTTCAGAAAAACTCAAACTAATTCACTGTATCTGGAATGAGCTCTACTCCTCAGAGCCTATAACGTACCATGGAAAAACAAATAAACTTCTATTAAAAAAATAACAGAAAAAGGTGAGTGACGAGGGAAGCACTTCATCTTCCCAGCCACAAAGAATAAATGTAAGAACTATTTTAGATGCCATACTCCTCTTTTCCAAGACGTAGCTTTATAATCATACTTTTAAAAGTTATTCCATTATCAGCTTAAATTTTTCTCTTGTGATTTTCTACCTCTGTATTATTTATTACTACTATACTTCGGAAAGGTAAGTAACATATATCATTTCTAGCACAAAAAAAGGAAGTAAGTTTCTGTCTTCAAATACTTTTAATTTTAGTTCAGATCCTAGAAGTATAGATGAAACATTTTTGTGTACTCATTAAGCAGACAATTTGGTGATTTTTTTTTTTTTCTTTTTGAGACAGGGTCTTAGTATATAGTTCAGGGTGGCTCTGAACTCATGGGGACCCTCCTGCCTCTGCTTCCTGAGTGCTTGGACTACAGTTGTGTATCATCACACTTGGCTACTACCAACAAAACTGAATGCTTTTTCTGTACTTTACGCAGTGGAGACCGAAACAGGGAGATGTAGCTCCTGAAATCCAGGACACTGCTGACATGAAGGTTAATGCTGTGCCAGTCTGATTTTCAAGCACTTTAGGGGAAAAGAAGTTTGCTGTCTCTAACGCACATCAATTTTATCTTGAATTAATAAATGAATGCACTAATTAGCCAAAACCTGAATCCAAATGAAAATAAGATCTAACACGAAAGTGTTTCCTAGTCACCCCCCAAAACTGTAATTATAAAAAAATGTAACACTGAGCTTACCGGTTCCTCCACGGGAGGCTCCTCTAGATTTAAAGGGATTTTTGACTCCATGTCCTCCCACCCAGGAAGGTGGTTCGAAGCAGAGGTGTCAGTAACAATGCCACCATTTTGTACCTTGATGCCATTCATTCCCTGGCAGGATGAAGGAACGTGGTGAAAGAAGAGGCTCTTCTGTGGCATAGGCAGAAACCAGGCCACAGCAAAAGCCACAGAAACACACGTGAGAGAGACAACATTCAGGCTGAACAGGGACCAGTCTGCCACCGAGACAAGAATTTGTCCTAGGACAGAGCCCACTGTGAAGCCCACTAAGGTGGCACTTCGACAGTAGCTTGTGACCTTCTGGTACATGCCCAAGTCTACAACACTGTAGATGTAAGAGTAATAGGCAATTTCAGTGGCTGTGGCGATGCCATAAAAGAACTCCAGGAACTGAATGGCCAGCAGTCCCTGGGCATAAAGCAGCATGAACCATGTAACAATAAGGCTGAATCCCTGCAGCAGAACAACAGGTTTATAACGGAGGTAGTCTGTGGCGAGGAATACAGGAAACAGCAGCACCAGGTAAGAGTAAGTCCATACTGGGTAAATCTCATTGAAGACCTGGCAAAAAGAGAATAAAAACACATGAAGGATCAAAAGACTTGACTATTCATAAAGAATTTATTCTTAGAAAACAATGTACTAACATTTTCAAGATCTCATCCTCAGGCCTTGTATGTGAGTGAGACCGCACAAGGCCCAACGGATTCTGATTCGACCCAGGCCCGGCGTGTGAGTGGGACTGCTTGGGACCTGCTGTATCCTCATTCGACCCAGAGCCCAGGCCCAGCTTGCGCGTGAGACAGCCCAGGGCTCACTGGATCTTCATTCAAGCCTGAGTTCAGGCCCGTGTGTGAGTAGAACTTCCTCCATCAGATAGGCCTGGTGTGGAACCTTGCAGCAGAACTTCCTGCAGAGAGGCTACAGGCAAGACCCACCCAGCTGATCCAGGAGCAGAACATCTTGCCAGAGTGGCACAGAGCATTCACCTCCAAAGGCTGCAGCAGGAAGAAGTGGAGCACAGCAGCCAGACCCAAGCCACACCCACCTGGACAAGTTTGAACTTAGTAGATCCGGACCTGGTGCAAAGCAACAAAGGTCAGAAGACAGTGCTATACAAAATGACAAAGAGAAGGAGCAAAATGCATTCTCAGGCCCCAAGCCCACCCAGAGCAAAGGCAGGAGACACTAGCACAGAAGAAACTGGAAATCACATACCTGGAATCTCTGAAATAATAGCATCTGAAGTAAAGAAACAACTGCAGAAAGGTATAGAGGAAAGCAGATCACAAATAAATTCTGAAGTAAAAAAAGAAATGATAACTATAATGAAAGAAGCACTAAGTGCTTCTAAAGAAGACACTGATAAAAAATAGAAGAGAACAGAAAAATGATGGAATCCTTGAATGAGCAATATAGGAAAGAAATAGAATGCATGAAGCAGATTCAAAGAGATATACAGGAAATTAAAACCTCAATCACAAACTGGCAAAATCATTTGAATGAAAGTGAAAACAGACTTTCAGACCTTACAGGCACTGTTGCAATTAGTATAAAATTAAGAAAAGATCTCTTAAAAACAACTAGGATGCAGGAAAAAAATAATTCAACATCTGCAAGACGAAGCAAAGATAAAAAACATAAGACTAATAGGTATCAATGAAAAAGGAGTCAATACAAATGACATAAAAAGAATATGAGCAGAATAGCAGAAAACTTTCCAAAAATGAGGAAACATTCTGACATTCAAGTAACTGAAGCATACAGAACTCCAAATAACTTCAACGCAATTAAAAATACACTGAGACATATAATAGTCAAGATCTCAGAAATCCAGCACAAGAACAATATATTGAAAGCTGCTAAAGAAAAGAAACAGATCACATTTAAAGGAAAACCATCAGAATAATGGCAGATTTCTTTTCACAAACCATCAACTCAAGAAGAGCATGGAGCAAAGTACTACAAATCTTGCAGGAAAACAAATTCCAACCCAGATTGATATACCCTGCAAAACTCTCTTTCAGGTATAATGGAGAAGTGAAACACTTTCATGACAAAGAACAATTAAAGAATTTCATGATGACAAAGCCAAGCCTACACAGACTACTAAAAGATATTCTAAGGGGCTGGGGAGATGGCTCAGTGGAATAAGCGCTTCCCTGGCAAGCGCAAGGGCCTGAGTTCAATCCCTGGTTCTGGAAAAACTAAATAAATAAATAAAATAAAAGATATTCTAGAGATGGAGCAAAATGACCACAACTCTATGAATGAGAATGGAAAGAACCCACCAAATAGAATAAATAATTAACATAGGCGAATAAAAGGTATACAAAAGCAGTCTTTTAGTTATTCTTTTCTATACTGCAGAAGAATATTTCCATAAGCATACTTACAAATGGACTTCTTCTGCACCCTTAGGGTCAAGGTTCTATCTGGGTCTACAGGGTGGCTATCAAGGAAATAGCAGTAGCTCAGTCCCACAAGTGACACCTGGCCACATGTAAGCCTCATGGACACTATCCATGTCCACGACATAGTAGAACTTTGTGTGATATCCTATCCCCAAACTGTTAGAAGTGCTAGTCATTTATTTGCCATTCCAGTATTTATCTTATGTTTTATTCTTAATATTTTGCTACTATCATGAAAACTTTTTCTTAGTTCAATTGGTTTGAAACATTTAATTTTGAATTAATATTTAATTTTCTGAATATTTTTAATTTTAATTTTTGTTTTAAGATTTATACTGTATCTTTGACTTACAGTCTACTTAAAAGAAATGATATGATGTTTTCTCCTAGAATTAGAAACTCTAAAAAGTACATTTCCATTTTCCATTAACTTTATATTACTTCTTCCTTGTCTTTTATACACACATGCACACACACACAGGCATGCATATATATATATATATATATATATATATATATGAAAACAATATGTGTATAACCCGACCTAAGATTGATACTGTTTTGTAGAAATCTTCAATGACCTTTTAAATGGGTTCATCTAATATATTTTACATAGTCCTGCATAACTATCATTTGGAGAGCTTTTTATTCTTTATCTAGGACCATACAGCAACTTATCTTGCCTTCTGAATTATGTTCTTTTTTTCTTTCCTATATGTCATGCCTGGAGATATTAGAATATTTTAAGTTTGTATAACTGGAAAATATTTTACTTTTTATTTTCAAAGGTACATTTGCTAAGTATAAATTTCAATGAGGACAGATTTTTTTTTTTCAGTCCTTTAAATTAACTAGTGTAGTTTCTTATACACTTGGTCTTTTTTTTTTTTTTTTTTTTTTCCTAATGTGGACTAAGATGCTATTTAATTTTGTTCTGCCAAGCTAATATTTTTTTATTTATATGCTTTAATGATTTTTTTCTTTACAATTCATTTTGGACAATTTAATTTTTGTATATGTTGGTATGATTTTATTCGAATTATTTGTGAAAAAGGTTCATTTTTCTTGAAAATGTGGTGGTATAATTTCAACTAAATTCAGAAATTTTAAATCTTTAAATATTTATTGCCTATCCCTTTCTACTTTGAGAATTTTAATTATTTGAATATAAGTTTCTTGATTCTGGCACAGAGTGAACGAACTATTGTATAAACGATCTGTAAATTCTTTCTTCTTCATTTTTATTTTAGACAATTTTTTTTTTTTTTTTTCAGAACTGGGGATTGAACGCAGACCCTTGCGCATGCCAGGGAAGCACTTATTCCACTGAGCCATCTCCCCAGCCCCTATTTTAGACAATTTTTATTGTTATATTCATTTAAGTTTGTAAATAATTCATTTACAGTGTGCAACCCTATTATTAATCGCATACTATGTATTCATTTTAAAAATATTTCTCTAAAATTCACTCTGTCTACATCTTGTATCTTTCACATTTCAATATTTGTCTATAATTTTTAATGTGATACATAATTACTGATTTTCAATAAAGGTAATGAGAAAAAAATCTCATCCTTATCAACCAAGCAAATTTCATTAATAACAGCGCAGCTAATCATACCCTTCTCTATCTCCATTCCATCTTTTGCCTAATAAAAGCTTAGTTCAAAGATTTCCTCATCCAGAAAGGTTTTGGTGGAGCCGATGGCGTTTCTCTGACAATATTCAAGGATCTCCTGATAGGCTTTCTAGGTGTCAAGTGTGCCCAGTTAACTCATCATCACAACCATGCTGCACATCTCCCTAAAAGCTGTAAAAAGTTGGATGCCAGCCCAAAGTTTTAAAAACCTCCCAGGAGATTTCAATGGCAATGGTTTTCAACCAATGCCTTATGAGGTGAAAAAGACAGACCCAACATCTATCTGGACAAGCTAATAGCACACTGTTTAGAAGATACGGGACCAGCGATACTTCTGAAATGTAATCACTGTCAGTTCTTACTTCTAGGTACTTCAGTCCTACTATTTGGTTAAATTTAGCTGGGTTTAAATTACATTTTTGAGAGGACAGAGGAATAGGTGAAGAGGGCAAATCTGTTCTGACATATTGTCAGAATGTTTTTCTCTGAATGGTAGGCAGTTTTTACGACCTTTCATTTATGTATAATATGAAAGAAAAGCTTTTTCTTTTTAAAAATTTATTTTTGGGCCAGCCAAACAGTTCAGTGGATTAAAGCACCTGCAAGCAGGCGCAGGGGCCGGGAGTTTGATCCCTGGGCCTGCCGTGCCGGCCCCGCCCTGGGGTGCACTGAGACAGCGAGCATGGTGGCACATGCCTGTAATCCCAGCACTTGGGAGGCTGTAAACAGGAGAATCACTCTGAGTCCGATCTAGTAGTGAGACCCTGAATACCCTGTAGTACCTTCCCTAAAAAAATACAGAAAAAAATATTTTTAACTGACAAATAACTACATGTTTACGGGGAACATATATGAATATATATCTATATACGTATATATACACACACTGTATAATGATCAGCTCAAAACACTTAGGCGCTTATCACTTCTTTGTGATGACAACATTCCAAATCCTTCTAGCTATTTTTTTCCCTTCTAGCTATTTGACTTATATGATATAATGTTAATGATAATCATCCTCCTGTGTATGCTAATAAGTACACCAGAATTTACTATTTTTACTGTAATGCAAATTTTTTAATTGGGGTACAGCAGAAATAATTTTATTCTTGTTTTATTATTATTGTTGAGACAGGGTCTTACTATGCAGTTCAGACTCTAGTGATCCTCTAGTTTCAGCCTCCCCAGCACTATAAATAATTTTTTAAAATTCACTTCAAATCAAAAATAATTTCAGTTCCATTACTTGCTGTGTAATTAGAGATGCTCCTTGACTTACAGGGTAAGTGCATCCACATAAGGTAAAACATGCAGGTAAAATATCCCTCTACCAGGCTTTGGAGATAGGTCAACAGTCTAAGTATCTGCCTGGCAAGTACAAGGATCCATGTTCAGTCCCCGGTACTGCATACTGTGCTGACTCTGCCCCAGGCACACCAGGCTCAGATTAGCACACAGTACAAGGAGAAAGTGTTGTTTCCCTTTGTTCCTCATGGCTACGTGAGACC